TTGTATTGCCCCCAAGGGAATGCGTGCACATCCGCTGTAATTTTCCACTTCAGGAAATAGGGGCTCCCTATTATCACAAACATTTAAGTAAGTCAAAGTATTTTAATGCAATTTAGTTGCATAGTTTCGTTGGTCCAAAGTTCTGTCAACAACCACTTTCGGGGCTACTTAGTAGCAGACAAGGCGCATTCCTGGATGTCTGAATCAACCCACAACAGTTACGAACGTGTTTGTGTAAAACGTGACGAATAACTGCTTTTGGTCTTTTCTGTGTAATTCCTGTTATGTGTGCATTTGAGTCGTGTTTACAGCATCGCTTGTATATTTCAATTGATTTAAGACTAATTAAAAGCGCTCCGCTGGAAGTGACAGAATGACAGAGTGCCGAGCACTCGGCCACTGACTCGGCCACTTGTTCGAATTTGTTGAGGACACACACACAAACACACACCTACACAAAAGCACAAATACTAATTTATATTAATATCTCTGGATCGGAACAATCAGCGAGGTAGCGAAGCTTGTGCTACATGAGATGAGGATGCTTGAGTGTGGCGATTGCCGGGCACCGGGGAGTTAAATGTTTTGCATTTATACCAGTTCGAGTTACAAATAATTAAATTAATTGCTTGCTGAGTGACCTCAACAACATCAACAGTAGAAACAGCAGCGGCAGCAATCTCAAAAACAATAGCAATGCCAACAACAACTGATTTTAATTGCATTATCTATGTATGTATCTCGCTCAACATTTTACTTTTACTTTGCTTTACGTGGGCCAATGAAGGGGGAACTTTGTAGAAGCTGAAACCAAGTGTAATTGCAAATTATGTGTTATATGTATTATGTAAATATGTACACACATACATATGTGCATATTATATATATGTACGTATGGTCAGGTAAGCTTACAATTTTTTCTAGTAATGTACGTTGATTGAAAAACAGTAAGAGCGGCAAACGACAATTAAGTCAGTCAATATAGTAAGTATAATCGATTTCATAGGCAATAGACGCGGGAGAAATGAAAAAAAAAGTATTTACATTATATTCTGAGTAGTCCGTCATAGTTAGTTACTTTGTACTGTACTTCCTTGCCTTCAGATAACATAAAAATGAACTCGTATATGTGGGCTTACCACAAATATTTTGAATACATTATTTATGTGTTGATAACGTGAATATTTAAATGTATTTTTGCCCAACTTTTAAGATGGCGAGTACCTCGCACTAAATAAACAATCGACTGCAGAATTAAACGAACGAAGGACGATACTTGTGACGGCAATGTCGAAAACTATTGACGATTACGATAACGGATCAATAGTAACAATATTCCTACAAACAACATTTTTTTAAAATTTTGTTGTGGGTTAAAATTTTAGTTTAAGTTGCAATATAATAATAAAATTACATAAAAAATTGCAAGTCTTTTTGGAAATATTATAATAACCTGCTATATTTGGTTTAACCTTTAAAGAGTGATTGGAAGTCGTATTAAATAAAAAATAATACTAATTTTTGGTGAAATTGCGATCATAACTCAGACTTATGTACTTCCTAAACATTTCTCCAGAAACATGACGATATTTGCATTCAGTTAATCACCAGACCGCAACGAGCTCGATTAAAAATTCGTTAGGTTGTGTGCATATTTTGCGGCTACAGTCGCATTAAGAGGCTTATCAGTAAAACTTGAATTTATTTTGAAAGAAAACACATATGTATAATTATATTATTAATAAATGTGACTCCGAGTTATTTGCAATTTACAAAAGGCAAGTTATTGTTAGTGAATTTGAGATTTAAAATGCGACTTGTCACTCAAATTGAGTTTTGACACAGTATAACAGCGTATCGGGATAACATCAGTAAAAGTATTCTAAATATGTAGAATCATCTTTTTTAACACTTTCAGCATGAACAGCTTTTTCTGCGTAAATATCCCAGTTTAAAACCAAAAATTCACACCCAAAATAAAACATATACAACCACTATAAGTATATCATTTCACATTTTAATTGAAATTGCTTAACAAATCGACCGATATTTCCTGTGGCAGCTATAGAATATAGTGGTCTGATCTGGTCGATTTTGAAAAACGATCCGCTATCACACACAAAATTTAGCATTCTACCTGACTCAGGACTGAAGGAACCGCATGTGCAAATATTTTTATTTTATCTTTAAAATTGGGCGTTACGAATTTAAATGTTAAAATATTTTAAAGTTAACTGTTACGTATTTGTGATGCATCTTAGTTGAATTTTATGACCAAAATAAACAAAATATTGATGTACGAAAAATGACCTTGTCTGAGAAGCGCAAAGATGGGCTTCAAAATGCAAATATATAAACATAATATATAAAATACTTATGATAGCAAAATATGGACTAAATCCATGCATGATGATATTGACATGCATGCATAATTAGATACATATATCGGCTAATATGCATTATAAGTATGGGAGTGGAAGGAGGATGATGTGGATGAAAAAAAGATAAAATAAATAAATTAAATATAGTATGATGTGGATGGAAAAAGAAAAAAATAAATAAATGAAATATAGTATAATTTATCAGGTTATGCTTTCGTACCTGTTTAAATGGTATTTTAATATTCACTTGGCATTTGTTTGATTGCTTAACATAGATTGTGAATTATTTGAATGTCTCTCTTTTAATTGCGCATTGTCGCTATGTGCTAAACAAACAATAATACTATATGCTAAAAAAACGGAGCTAAGTTATCTTCGTCGATGCTGAAGAAATAAACCATTGCGAGAATTCCTCCAAGTATTCCTGCAGACTACTATAAAACAATCTTTTGTGCCCTAAAGATCTATTATTACATTTTATAGCCTTACACTTATGAAACATATGTACAAAAATGTACACATCTATAAACTAATTGATAATATTACTTGATAGTTTAAAAGATTTTGTATTCTTTACACACTTTCTTTCACAGTTTTTAAAAGTGTTAAATTTGTTCAGTCTGGTCAGTCGTATAATAAGAAACAGAGCTTGCGGGTTATTTGAGATGAAATTTAAAAAAATTTTGATATTGAAAGTTTAAATTTGTATAAACATATATTTTCTATGAAAATTTTAAATAATTAATGCGTCTAGGTAGATAGTTATGTCCCTTTGTTTACAGAACTACACTATATCGGGCAATTCCTAACAATAAAAAATAACAAACAAAATAACTAACAACCTCAATAGACCCGATAGAGTAGTTTATGACGACAACAAACTGTATCTGGACTTGGCCGTCGCACCAAGTGGCTTGTGATATTAAACCAGATCACGGGCAAAAGAACTGGCTTGTTAGCTGACAAGACAGGTGCCAGTTGTTGTTGTTGCTATTTTAGTTGTTGTCGTGCTGTTATTGCCGCGCTGTGGGTGTTGTTGGGGCACCTGGGTGTTGACGAGGGCGTTTAGCAACGCGACTACTGTAGCTATGTGCTCGCAATGGCCCAAGAGTTCCACTCTGCCCACCATCGGGTTGCACGCTGAGTGCCGAGTGCTGGGTTCTCTTTGACGTGCATGGATTGTTATTTTATTGTTGGCAGTCAGCAACAAAGTTGTCGAGCTTCATTTGATTGGCCAATAAGTTATGCATGGAGCTTTGCCTAACCACAATGCCTATTTAGATATGTAAACATATACATATGTATATATTTTCCGCAAGAATCATGACACCGGGCTCTTGTAATTTATACGATTTCGTGGGAACTCGATTCATTTTTACAATAAGCGTGAAATTCTTCAAAAATATTACACTTCTATCGAAATGATGGTGATGGCGAATTAAAAAATTGCCGGAGGCATCCCTACGTGCACCACCTATGTATGTAAATATATGTATATGTACATAATACATAAAAAAGTGCGTTCACTAATTGAGCAAATTCCATAGTAATTTCAATCAATTAAAATATTAAAGCGAAGCAGCCGCACAAGTGTGTGCAGCATTACGGTCCAATTACTACGCTAATGACCCATTTAAGGAGCCACCGTTGAGTGGGTGGTTGATCCGGATTTAAAGTTTGTGGGGGTTGCCGGAAATTACGGCCAAAAACATTGGCAAATGGGCATGCGCCCAAAAAAAATTTTTTTACAGAAAACAAAGCAGACTATAGCTTACAAAAAGACATTTCTGCTATTACACATTTTTAGATTTACTTCTTAGAAGAATTTTAATACTATAAAGACGATAAACGTGAGTCATAAAAATCTTAAAATGGGATAAAGTTCCAAGTTCCAGAAATCCAAGCCAATGGAGAAACATAAAGAATAGAGTAAAGGAAATGTAAAAAGTACGCGAGCGAATTTGGAGATATATATAAATACATATTGGTAACTAATTAAAAAACATAAAAAATTTATCCTCCTTATTGTGGAGGTTTAAATACCTTTTAAAAAGTCAAAAATGTAATTTAAACTTATATCCTTGAGACAAGTTTTAAATCAGACAACTTTGGGAATTCCTTGGCGAATGCCAAAGGTACATATTGTATTGCAATATTATTAATGATTTATTACGATTTTAATTAATTTTTTTGTTTATAACAGGTCTACATATATATGTTTATCTTGTATAACAGATATCCTAGATATATTTTATGCAGCATAAAGATAATTATTGAAAGTATACGAAGTTTTTATGAAAAGAGGCGCTAGAATATATGTTTGTATGTACATATATGCGGATGTGTAATAAATCTAATAAATCTTTAGCTAAGGCTGTTATGTTCCATCGATGTGTGTCATCAATCTGATAGTATTTGCATGTATGTATACGTATGTTCTTATAGCATAGGATAAGCATTTGGTCCTTCAGCCTTTTGTACAAAGGTACAAATGGCTTTAATACTTTTTACTTTTTCCCTCCAAAGAAATAATAAATAATATAATTTGTAATTCGATCGCTTCAGCTAAACATTAAAGTTGGAATTTTAGTGCAAATTTGGGACTCTGTCCAAACTTACCTCGTGCGCCTTAGGATGTTGATGCTGGCAGTTGTGGGCTTTGGCTGACTGGTTGGCCAGTAGCAGGAGGAGCCAACAGCAGCAGAGCAGCAGTAGCGCGGTCGGCGTTGTAGGGTGAGGGAGCAGCTGACTGTGACACATGCTCTCGTCTTTTTTTGTTGTTGTAGTAATAGTAACGTTAATGGACAGCTGATCTGCTTGTCGGCTTTGGTGGTTTTGGGAATTGTGGCCCAGGAAATGCTAATCGGCTAATTTTAGAACAATGGTACTTCATCTATTGAGTAGCTGCCATGTTCGAGTGTGTGATAATGAGGGTCGGGATGCTATCAGCTCGCAAAATATGCTTGTGATTATTACACACACAAGGATACTCGTATTTACAGCATATTCCAATTCCGCTTGTTGCCTTGTTGTATGCTTTATTACATTTGCTTATACGCTTTAGGCTTTGGTTTTTCTTTTTTGTCAATTAACTCGCGCCACGAGAAACCGGCTAGTGAACGCTACACACGGCGCGCGCGCCCGCCAACCCACAACAAGAGAAGCAGCAGCACCAACAGCAGCAGTTACAGCAACAAGAGCCTGTATATGTGTACAAGCAATATTTGCAATCACACAATCTTATACAGCAAATTGTAATTGGGGTTTTGGGCTTGGTGGGTGCGTCCGCGAATTTAGTTCACAAAAACAAACCAACTTCGATGGCCACAACAACGCCAACGCCGACGCCAAAAACGACGCCGCGAGCTGTTGATGTTGTTGTTGCTGTTTACTGTTTTTCTTTCTATGAGTAGCGGGCAACCGTATCCACAACAGCGACAACAACAGTAACAGCAACAACAACAACATACACTTAAATGTCAAATTCTCATGAACCGCCTAAGCACACATTGCATTTGTTAATGCATTTATAAAGTTTTCAATAGTTTAGCACCACTCTTTGTCATTGTTGTGCGCAAAATCGAGATGAAATGGAAATGCCGCACAAATTATTTATCCATTGCAGCAGGCGGAGGCAGAGTAGCACAGAAAATGAAAACACAAAGCGGCGGGGGCGAAATATATAAACGATAAACGGACGCCGCCAAAGCGCTAACAACAAATGCGACCAACTCAGGTTGACGCTTCCGAATTGAATGAATGAGTGAATGACGGCATAAAAGAGAATAAGCGGCGACCAGAGACAAAGACAACAACAGCACGTCGCATTGCGCATGCATAGCCAATCGTTGACGTCACTATTGCTCCCCTAGTGGTGCCAGACAGGCAAATCCATAACAAAACACAATGCGGTGGCAACGCTTTTTATAGGTGAGTGAGACAGCCACAGTTTCGAATGGTTGCCAGTACGCACAATGCTGAGAAACGTTTTTGCGCTGATTTTTAAATAAAAGGAATTTAAATCAGAAATACTGGTCTGGCACATATACCGAACTATTTTTTTGTGAATTTATTGATGTTAAAATAGTGTGTGCGCGGCAAGTATCCGAAAAATATAGGTTTAATAATAGCTAGCAGCTTACTGTAATGCAATGCGTCGGAAATGATTGTTTAATGGCCCTTCGTCAGAATAGCCTGCAATTTCTTGCGGTATAATGCCCGACTCCTCGATCGAAGTGCAGGGGCGACACATGCACTCTAGGGGCGCTTTTGTCAGCACCTTCTTGAATTTGCGCTCGCCATGCTTCACCTTTGGGCAGAATAATGAGACAGCTGCCTCGCGTTCTCCCGACTCCTGACAACACATGCACGAGCGTTCCATCTGCCAAATTTTGCTGCCAGACACCTGCATGAAAAAAGCAACGCTATGAAGACCATGTTCGTCAGTTATGGTAATAACCATAAGCGGTAACCTGTATGTAGCTAGCACAGCGTCCGACACAGGCAAACGATGGTATGGGCTTTGGCACACAACCCGGATATTGGAGTACGTGTATGACTGGGGTGACCTGACAATCATCTCCAATGTGCGCAATGTCTGCTAAAACGAAAGGGTATGTGTACATACATATTTAACTTGCACTCAGCTTATTAGGCAATAGTTGTTTATAAGATTTACCGTTATCGTTGACCGGCAACGTATTATCGGACTGGGCCATGCACAGCTTGAGGAAACTCACGAGCACGCAATAGAGCAAAATGAATACAAATATTTTATTGCCTTCACCTTTGAGCAATTGGCGCAGCATTTTTGAATGTGTGCCCTTCCTTGTGATCCTCGCGGCCGTTGGCAAATGAAAAAAGCGCTCGAACGCCTTGCGCTTTTTATAGGACGAGAGCCACAATGCTCGAGGACGCCTTCTTAATGACTACTTTCTCATGAATTATGGCCTAATAAAGTGCTCTAGGCGCTAGCCACTTTCCACTAATGGCCGCAAGCTTTTTTGCCTAGTAATTGCGTACACGAAAACGGCATTTGCAACGCCCAGCAGGACATTTACAAATATATGTATGTCATACATACTTGTATGTATGCTTGAATGTGTATACATTTGATGTTTGTATGTATCGTCATGTGTGTATGTGCTTCGTTTATTTTATGCACAGCTCAAAGCTTAAGCCTCAAACTTAAACTTAACATTGGCAACAATAGCAAGACGTTGAGTAGCTTCTTGATGGTCCCGCTATTTCTTTCGCCCAAATACTGCACGAGGCGGCCCAAACGTTTTTCCGACCATTCCAAATTGTCGCCAACATCTTGCACGGCCGTGTGCAGCGTGTCCACCGATCTGCCAAAGAGTGATCCGTTCTGAGCAATGAACTCTTCAAGCATCTGCTTTTGTGTTCGCGTAGTAAAGTAGCCTGCTAACTCGCTCAGAACTTTTGCCGTTTCCGACCAGCTATCCAGGCTTCAAAGAAATTTGAAAATTCTATATAAGTACATATGTATGTATGTACAAGTACATATGTATATGTTCCCCTTTCTATGTCACATCGAAAAAATGTTGACTTTCATTATTCGAAATACCCAATTTATCATGCAAACAATTGCTCTCAATTATATCAATTCTTTGAGGAATGATATTGTGATATGAACGGTGCCGACATATTAAATATGTATGTCCTTAAAAAAGAAACCTCGGTGCAAAAACGTAAGAAGTAATAGTAACAAGATGGTAATCGTGAATTAGAAATCGTAATGCTGATCATATATGAAATTCTATTAAATACACTTGAGCTTTCCCCCAACATTTCATAAAAGAAACATTTTCAAAGAGGAATTAGAATAGTCTATAAGCGCTTTGAATTTTAGAGCTTTGATAACGGACAACGGCTATATCGATTCTCCTCGACTCCTGATAGAATATTTACTTGTACATACTTATAACGTGCAGTTTGCAAATATCAAACCATACGCTAAATACCCTTCTATAAAACCTTACAAAACCACTCTTTAAACATTACTTACGCGTCTGCCAGCTTTTTAATATCATCCGTTAGCATTTCGAAAATTGGCGTCACATGCTCCGGATTCTGTTGATATAACTGTGCCACACCCGATGTTATAAGTGAGACTGTTACGTTTCCTAGTATTTCGTTTTCATAGTGGGCTCGATAGTCGCTGGTGCAGCTCGCTGCAAGCCACAACATATGCTGTTCACTGGGATATGTTTCCGTGCGGTAGTAGCCCAGTATGGTGGCATATTTTCCAGCTCGGGAGGCGGCACAGTACAGCGTCTCGCGGAAATCGGGTAACGGCTTTTCCGCTTGCGTCTCAAGAGACGTCACTGTCTCCAGCACCTGCTTGTTGCATTCCTTATGCTGATATTTGCACAACCAGGACACTTGTTTGTTGCGATTAAAGACATCCAACACAGTATCATTCGGCCGAACTATGCCGAGTCTATCGAAAACCTTCTTTGTAATGTCTTGCAAATAGATAGAAAAACATGTAAGTTGTTCCAATGTCAGACGTGGCGCCACACGCTCCAGTCCATCGTACACCGCATACCAAGGCACATATTCGGTTTCCTCGACCAAGTACTCCATAAATTTAAATACCTCCACATAATCGAGCATTTCGGCATGTGCAAAATTGAACAGATCATCAATGATTTGGGCTCGATTCTCTACAGCCACGCCACTATGTCCGGAGGCGGAAAGCGCCAACTGTAGTCTTTGCAGCAATCCTGAATCGTAAAATACGCGATAGTAGTTGGACTGCCTTAAGTTCACCACAATCCAATCGATGTGCTGGTTAAGATCCAAGTAATATGTGCTGGCATTTTTTTGTATGTAGAAGCTAGGTGTTAGATTTTGAAAGTTGGGCGATAAATTTGTAGTATATGTAATGGGAATGGTGTAACGTATGGTCGTATCGCTGCCATCGCTAGGGCTTAGTAAATATCGATTATGCTCGAAGGAAATACGTCCGTTTTCTTGGACACGCTTGACATAGAGAACTGGATATCCAACCTGCTCGGTGTAGTCGTAGAAAAACTGATCCAGGTCGACAATCTGTTGCGCTGGCCAATGTTGTTTAAGGCAGTCAAATAAATGTTGTGGCACGGTGTTAGATCCATGGCTAGAAAGTGAAGAAGTGAAGAAACAGGGCCTAATCTACAGGAACCGGTTTAATTACCTAACTAATTTAAAACTGAAAAAATTGAAATATACTTGAACATCAAAAACTCGTAGAAACGAAGAAGATCTCATAGAGTTTCCACCCTTTCAAATGGTCTTTTTATAACATAGGATAACCATGTTTTTTTTCTGTTTCTCCCTTATACTCACTACATCTTGAGATATTCACTTATGGACGCATCAAAATTTTCGTGTCCCATGGCATTACGCCACATCCGCACAATGCTGGCGCCTTTGGCATATGCAATACTGCTGAACTTGTAGCCGATCTCTGATGGTGTTTCTATAGTAGCTTCCGGGCTAGTCATGGGCTGTGTTCCCACCAGGGCATCGTTTTTAAAAATAAGTTGCAGTTGGCGTACTACGAATTGCTGATCCAGCTGATATTCTGGGTAGAGCTGCAAAATATGAGATGAGATATGAAAACCAATTTAATGTTAAACACACTTTGACCCTAACTCACCTGATGTGCCATAAAGTATTCGTAATATCGTGCAAATGCTTCGTTAAGCCAGAAGTAGCTCCACCATTGAAAGGTTACGCTATCCCCGAACCACATATGAGAAGTCTCATGTGCTATGATGCGGATGGTAAACTCTTTGTTAGACCAGCCGTCCGTATAACCAGGCTCCTGCACCAATACCGCATCGCTGCAAAGACACACAACTTAAATAGGAAATACGAGTACCCCTAGCCCTCGCTTACGTTCCTAGAAAACCTTGTGTTAAGCGAATCGATTTACCCAAAGGGTAAAAGGGTATACTAGTTTAGTGCGAATGTATGTAACACACAAAAGTAGGCGTGGCAGACCCCACAAAGTATATATTATTATATAGCCATGTCCGTCTGTCTGTCCGTCTGACCGTCTGTCTGTATGAGCGCAAGGATCTCAGGAAGTACAAGAGCTAGAATAACTAAATTTGGTAAGTCCTAGGCCGGTCAAGTTTATTTTTTTATTCTGATACATCCCCCACTCCCCCATAACTCTCGTAATTCTTGGAATTTCGAATTTGGTAACTACATCCCGTTAGTGATTATGTGTCTGTATGCCAAGTTTTATCATGATAGGTCAATTCTGAAGAAAGTTATAGCCATACATAATATCGCTGTCCATGCTTTGCTTTTTGCTCTGCCCGCAGCGCTGCCCGCTGCTGTTGTTGTTGTTGCTGCTTTGGTTCAACTTTGTGCTGCATACATACACGAATGTAAACACGCAGAGACACGATTCTGATGTAAATGTATGCTGTTGAAACTATACATGAACATGTCTCCACTTTTGTATATATGTATAGAATAATTTGTATTTAATTTAATTAATTCATTTAATTAATATAATTTTTTAAAATTATAAAATTTTTTTTTTTTTTTTTTCCTTTTTGGTGGGAGCTAAAGGGTATTTAAGAGTTGGGCCTGCTCGACTTTAGCATTCTTTTCTTGTTTCAACTTCTATCGTGTAGGAACGAGGTTTTCAGCGTGTTAAAAGAAAAGAGGTAGCAGGTAGATAGAACAAGTAATCGTGTTAGACCGAGCTCGTATTAAAAGAGGTGGTGTTAAGCTTTGGCTAGGTGTAGTTTCTTCTACGTTTTCTAAATGATGAAATCTTCCAGCAGTTTTTCAATTTTGCGTTGCACATACCCGTATTTCATAATAATTTAACTCCATTATTGTGCAAGAAAATTGTCAATATGCAAAATTTTCAATCTGTATCTTTGTAAATCTGCTTTCATTATAATAATAAACTACTTATTAGTGGTAGCTTCCACTTAGTGACGATGGTAAAAGGTTACTTAACGATCTGTTTAAGTAATTGCTATATAACATTGTTTTGTGGCTCCAATTATAGATTTATGTAATGTGTTCTTCCCTTCGATACAATCTTTCACTCCAAATCATTAATATTTTGTTCATAAAATGTGAGGTATGATCTTGGCTTTTACCTGTATATGATCAGTCCCCAGTTCTCCATGCCATTGTGAGGAAATTTTGGTGAACTAGCATACTGTAGGAGTTCATTGCCCAGCTCACTGTAGGGTTGTTTAAACAGCTCGTTGTATGCCTGTAACGTTCGCTCACCCACAGAGAAACTGAACTTTGTCTTGTCGAAAAACTCTGGTCTCGAAATAACGGCAAAGTTGCCGTCGCTGCTTTTACGGCTCGTGTATTCCGAGATAATAAATGCCACCAGGTATGTCGACATGACTGGTGTAACATCAAAGTGATCCACATAAAGGCCATTCCTTAAATATGTAATGTTATCAGATTTGTAAGTTTTCAGGACTTGATTTTACGCACCCTTCAGCCGTGCTGCCTATTATCTTTGTATTACTGATTGCATTGTAGTTGTCCGGTCGGGTAATGTGCAGTTGGAACTTGGCCTTGAAAGCGGGCTCATCGAAACAGGGAAAAACTACACGTGCATCAATGCGCTGCATTTGTGTCACGCCCAGCCACTTGATATCGCCCGTCTGCTCTTCTATATAATTGGCACGGAACAGGCCAGCCATGCCATCCCGCATTTGGCCGATATATTTAAAACGTAGAGTGTAGTTCTGGTTAGCTAACATGACCTGCGTCAGCGGCACAGTCAGCTTATCCGTCTGCTCCTCATAAATCAAACGTTCACTGGCGATTTCTTCCAGTAGATTTCCGGCCACATCGTAAAGCCAGCAATCCAATATTTCTATGTAGTCTTTGTGCAAAGTTATTTGTTGCACCCCTTCATCGATGCCGTACAGTGTGATGCTGACGTCACCGTCAAAGCTAAACTGTTTATCAGCATCGCTGATCAACAAATATGGACGTATGCTAATGTTGTACAACGAAGGTAGAACACCTCGCGACAACCGGTAATCGTCGGCCGTACAAGCACCAATCAGCGCCAAGGCCAACAGTAACGCGATCAATGCCGAAATTCCCGATCTGCGGCCGTCCATGTCGACTGCAGCTTTAATACTGAGCACCAATTAACACTAGTGCTCTAAAAATACCCGACAATTGTTTTTCTGTTTACAAAGAACAAACGATTGGGTGCCGATAAGATTTAAAGATTAACGCTTGGTTGTGCGGGATGCCCTTTGTCCAGCGACGCAATGGCTAATAAGATTAGGCCTACTATTCGATGGCTGAGCGAGCTTCATCAATGAATTCAAATATAAATAACAGGAAGTTATATTTCATTTAGCTGTAATAAAAATAAACGTGTTCTTCTATGAGGTATAATTAAAAAAAAAATTTTAAAAACCATATGTCCAAATGAAAGATCTGATTATTACCGGGAACTATACACATATGTACTGTTTATATTATATATTTAAATTTAGTAAGTATAAAATTTTAAGTAACAGTGTAGTTATCCTAAGGCCGATGAGAATCACAAATAGCGACCTTAGTCTTCTTATCTAATCCAATCAGTACTCCACTTTCGCAAGTGACGTAATTAATCGTAATTACAGAGTCCACATCAGACCATATAATATGCGATATGAATACAGTCTTCGCATAAAATATGGTGTTCATAACTCAATATAAACTAGTGTACTCTTTTAGCCTTTGAGTACAGGGTATAAAAACCTCTTGACTTGGTAAGAAACTTAGTGGCAAGAGCGAAAAACTGCAACCTACAACATTTCGGATCTAAAGTTAAATGTGAACGGAGTGCTAGTCTTGCGGACCCTACTCTTAAAAACCCAGTACATGCTATGCTAAATTCATTATGAAATTATATAATACCTTCGTGAGCTTTTGAGTCCAAAGCTTTAATAACTTTCGCAAATGCGCTTTACAAATCTTTGATAATATACACATATAATATAACCCATCTTTTCTATGTGCAGCTACATAATATAGTAATTCGATTCGTTTCAATCATTGAGACATCATTCTTTGTAAAAACAAATCTTCTAATACTTAATTTGGTTTCAATATTTTCAAAAGGAACAAAGTTTTTACAAACTAGTTTTAATATTTATTCGGCAGTTACATACATATAAGCCCGATGCTTCTTTTTCTTGAACAGATTCGTTTCGTCTTGTAGAACATGGGGTCTGCCCTGCTTTCTTAAGGGCGTTAGAAACATAAGACCAAACGCAATATTTCTCTTGCAAGTTGTTAATACGGTGCTTGTATGAATCATAGTATGTAAGAAATATTATTGTGATCATGTATAGTTACAGAAGGTAGGTAGCTTTATCAGATTAATTTCATTTTTATGGAAATAACAATCTACAGGATGAGTTGTACAAATTTAAAATACTTTTATTGGATTTAAGTGCACGGCACAGATTTTGACTTCCTCGCACATATACGAGTAGTATGTACATATAATATTGCTCGTAGCTTTATCTCCTTTATCTACTTCTTAGCGTAATAGTGTGACCAGGGCCAGAAGTACCAGGGTAAGTGCGGTGAACGCGCTCTTAGTGGCGGCGCCATTGCGGGAGGCGAGGTATGTGCGGAAAGTGCCCAGCTTTTCGTTGGCCCACACCAAATTCTCTTCCACTGTTTTCACAGCGGTTTCGAGAGTGGTGGCAGAGCTACCGAACTTATGTTTGTTGTTGGTGGTGAAGTCCTCCAAGTCCTTTTTCTGTGACTCTTCAGTGAAGCGTGCAGCAAGGTTGGAAATAACCGTCGCAACAGCGGAATAACTGCCCATGCTATAACAAAAAAACAGAGAGTGATTTTTTTGTTGGGAAACAAAATACAAAAGTATTTGAGGTTTAAAAACTTACGCTTCGGCCAATTCTTCATGCTGTTCTGTGACCAGTTTGAAAACAGGGCTCACGTTCTCATTGTTCTCTGTATACAGCGTGCTTAGCACAGAGGACTTGTCCTGTCTGCGGATCTCATCAGAGATCACCAATTTGAAAACACGCTCAATCAGAGCCTGTTGCTTCACACAACCGAACGAGTTCTGTAGCAGAGTTTCTTCGGTGGCCACTGTTTCTTTTTTGAATTTGTTGTACAAGGATTCAAACTCTGATGTGCCTCCCTCACGTAAGCCTACACAGTAAACAACTGAGCGAATGTTCTTTGGAACTGAATCCAAATACTTAAAGTAGTTCTTAGCTTGGTAGATGCAATCGGAACTGCCATAGCGACAAGCCCAGGAGAGCACTTTGGTGCGCAGATAAATGTCCAGGGCTCTGTCTGTGTTAAGTTCGTAGAAGCCCAGTTGGTTATAGACCTTGTATGTCAGATGCTGTATGTAGTTGCCAAAATGTGCCGTGTCTGTTCCCAGTCGTATGGCCAAAAAGTTATAGCCATTGAACGCCGATGTCCATGGTATATAGTTAGTCTCTGTCTCCAGGTACTCCAACACACCCAATGCCAAATCGTAGGTAATACCACTGGAGCGTGCCAAGTTGAACAGATCGTCGACCACTTGTGCCCGATTTAGCTCGGAGATGCCACCCCAGCTCGACTCATACAGTGCCTTTCGAATACCATTCCAGTTGCTCTCTGTATAGTTGACACGATAGTAACCTGTCTCCTGAATATTGGCAATTATCCAGCTAGCGTTTTGACTTAGAGTTTCTTCCTTCGTTTCGGAGGGCTTGAGGATAAACTTGGCTGAAGTATCGTTAAAGTTCTTTTCTACATTGGTCGTGTAAGTGATTGGCACATAATAGGCAAGATTGGAATTAGAAATATCTTTGTCCTTAAGCAAAAATCGTTGTTGGCTGAATTTAACACTTCGCCCATCTTGAGCCAAATCGACGTTAATCAGAGGGTATCCAACTTGAGTAGTGAAGCTGTTGAATATGTCCTCAGAGCTGGAATTAAATCTGTTTTCGGGCCAGTACAATTGCCAAGCGTCTAGCAGAAGCTTAGGATATGCTGGTTTATATTGGCTACAAGGAAAGGAAAAAGTCAAAATGTTAATATTGATTAAACGAGGAAAATAAAACATTTAGCTTATTGAGTTACTTACTTGTCTGCTAAGTATTTCTGCAATGATTTTTGGAAATTATCCGATCCCATTGTGTGCTCGATCATTCGTATGAAGGAGGCACCCTTGTTATAGGAAATGCTGTTAAACATTCGACTGAGATCAGCTGGTGTGTTGGTGTCTTCGTCACTAAGCGGATTTGTGGCATTCGTTGAATCCATGCTCATGACAGACTGAATTTGATCGACGACGAACTGCTTGTCTAGATCCCACTCTGTCTCAACAAAAGCGGTGCCAAAGTACTGGAAGTAGCGTGCAAAGCCCTCATTCAGCCAGGTATAGCTCCACCATTGACAGGTGACAAGATCTCCGAACCACATGTGAGCCTGTTCGTGCGCTACAACGGCAGCTATAGATTGTCGGGAAGCGAGCGTGGTAGCCGACTCGTCAACGAGCAGGCTGCGCTCCCTGTAGGTGAGCAGACCCCAATTCTCCATGGCACCAGCTGAGAAATCAGGTATAGCAGCCATATCCATTTTGTCATTACCAAGATCATAGTAACTTAAGTTAAGGTATTCTCCCAGCTTAGCAAGGATCTGAGGACCGACAGTGAAACTGTACTGAGTCTGTCCGTAGAATTCAGGACGCGACAGAACGCCAAAGACACCATCTGTACGCGTCGTAAACTCAGAAATGATGAAAGCTAACAAGTAAGTAGACATTGTTGGCGTTGTTGCAAAAACATCTGTATAGTATTCCCTGTAGAGGAGGTCGGGGGATAAATTTATTTTTAAATAAATTGAATATTCTATATGAAATATTAGTGAACCTACCCATTTGCAGATGAGGAGCTAATTCTGCGGGTATTGCTCACAGCATTGTAGGACCTGTGGCGTATAAGGGTAACATCGAATGTAGCCTTGAACTGAGGTTCATCGAAGGAGGGGAAGGCGCGACGCGCATGATTCGTTTGGAACTGCGTAGATCCAAGCCATCTGCAAATATTGATGGAAATATTAGCGCCGTATAAACTAACATAAACATTTAATCCATATACTTGGTTTGATTGTTGTCGTCTGTGTAGTAGCTACGATAAAAACCGTGCATGTCATCCTCCATAAGACCGACGTAGACAAAATGAAAAATGTAGGAATTAGCAGCTGTTAACTGGCTTGATAGCGGTATCGCCCATATATCGGTAACATTGTTGGGAGCAGTGATGGTTATATTTTGAGGCGTTGGGGTGCCCGTCGTCTTAGTCCAGTATTCACATTTAGTGTAAGTCAAGCTCTTGGAGTGCAGCGATATTGTGCCTGTGGTTTCAGTTGGCTTCACCTCAATGTATACCTCACCGTCGAACTGGAAACGCCTGTCGCCATCGCTCTCCAGCAAATAGGGACGCAATGTGATGTTATAGTTGACGGGATTAATGTTGATCGGCAGTCTGTAATTCTCGTCAGCGAACGGAACGGGTTGATCTAGTACACGAGTGTCGCCTAGGACGATAGACAGACACGCTGTCAGGACAACAAGCAAACGTATCCCGTACATTTTTCTGCAACGAGGTTATGACGCAATTGAAATCAATCACTTGAGTATTTCACAACAAACATTTCAAACGTATAGCTATACACAATATGAACTATCAGCAGTCATTGCGCCAATTTATGGCTTGCTGTAAATCATTCAATTCTATATATCCATTGCACTCACTCACTCGATCGATTTAAGGATTTTTACTAGCTCATTAATCGAGACTAGTTAGTTAGCAGACGTTTAACAACTAAACCTTGCCACTCATGTTCGCTTCAATTTATAAGGAACAGTCTCACTAACCAACTATATCAGCAATTTATCTGCAGCCTTAAATATTTTATATGAGCCGAGATAATGTGTGCTAGGTTTATAGATTATGCGCCGATTACGATAAGCTTTCAACGCCCCTTTATGATTTACACAATTGCAATGATGTTCGTTGAATTTTGCTGTGCTTTATGTGCCTTTATGTGGATTACAATATTAATATGTACAGTACACTAAGTTGCGACAATTTGACACATTTACTATGGCTCTGGAGGAATACTTGAACAAGCAGCTAGAATGCATTATCAATACGAGTAGTAATTGTGTTCGTATTTAAGCCATTAATATGAGCAAGCCGGCTGGGCTGGCTATCTTATCCGTTGTGAGTTGCCATAAAAGTCAGGCAATTGTGCCTGTAATGACAGACGTATACCAAAAACTAAATGTATTTATTGTAACACCATTAAACTTTCAGAAACGAACCGAATAGTTCTGGCTAAAAAGTATTTGTAACCGAAAGTGTTTTTATACCCTGGACCTCAAGGGTAAAAAGGGTACATTTTATATTATTAATCAGCATGACGAGATAAAACGATATAGACATGAGTTTCTAGAATTTGATTTTCCTCCCTCGCTACAGAATTTTATTAAAACTGTCCATAACTCCAGAAGAAGTGTTATTAGGGAAACAATTCCATTCTAGTACTACGCCCACAGACTGGAGGAGCGGGTTCGTTTTTATACCCTATACCCAAAGGGTATATTAGTTTTGTTGAAATGTATGTAAGATACAGGAGGAGTACATCTATTCTTGATCAGTGTGACAAGACGAGCCGATATAGCTATGTCTGACTGTCCGTCTGTCTGTCGGGCCATATAAACGCAACGATCTCTCTAAGAGCTAGAATTACCAATCTTGGTATTTGATAATTTGGTATTTAAGAGTTGAGCCCACTCGCCTGTAGCACTCCTCTTCTTGTTTTTTACCCTGTACCCGTAGGGTAAAAAGGGTATATTAGGTTTGTGGAAAGTATGTAACATGCAGAAGGAAGCATCTCCGATCCCATAAAGTATATATATTCTGGATCAGCATGACGAGAGAAATCTATCTAGATATGTCCGTCCCTCTGGATGAACGAAAGGATCTCAGAAACTATAAAAGCTACAATAGAATAAGTTGGCATCCAGATTCTCCGAGGTCCGAGAAAGGACGAGTTTATTTTATTTTTTTTAATTTTGCCCTTCTTTCCCCGCTACAGAATTTCCTCAATAACGTCCAAATTTCAAATGCTACCTAAACCAAACTTTGCACACATAATTTATTTAAAATTATCTACTGTTGTTTAAAATTTTAATTTTTAATTCGGTCAATTCTAAGAAAAGTTATTAGCGAAACAAATTCTCGCCAGTACAACCCTCCAAACTGCAGCAACAAGTTCGCCTTCTTCTTCCTCGTTTTGCTGCTTCTTTGGGCGCATTTAACTCAGCGGCTTCAGTTTGTTTGGGTACAGGGTATACAATACTATATTTCCTCGTGAGGCTTGCTCGAAAGTAGCATTCGTTCTTGTTTACGGATTAAAGAGTTACATATAGTAGTAAAGTACTAGACTTCGAATATTGCCTTTGTAGGCGAAGAAAAATTATCCTTACCGCGAGTATAGTATGTAAGATTTATATAAATTTTCATTGATTATTATTATGATTCATTAATCTGTTTCATTTCATTACCACTAGTATTATCTTGACCATAGAAAATCAGAATGAAATATTAAAAACACTTCCTATGGAGCCTTCTGCCCGATAAGTCAATCAAATAATGTTTATTTTTGCCAATTTTTCTATCGTTATCAATGATTGGTCATTTCAAGATGATGAGATTTAATGGCGCCCAACTTGATCGTTGATTTACTAAGTCATAAAAAATACATTGTGTTTCTTTACATTATCGACACTCATGTTATTATTCATATCGTTGCTATGGGCATTAAGTTTCATATATTGATTGTTGAGCTATTTATGGGTGCTATATAGTTAGAAAGTTTGTTATGCAATATGGAAAAGGCTTGCTTAGGAGCGTGCAATACCGAAATAATAAGATGTCGCCACGCTTAGCATGTGACTGGATTTATGAGGGCTTATTACTTTTTAAAATGTACTATTTGCCGGAATATTAGCACGATTTTTGTTATATAAGGCAATAAATTGTTATGTTGTTACCGCTCCAATAAAAGTGATGTCATTATACTTGGATGGTGGATTTTATTCTTGGGAAACAAATAATCATAACCTAACTTAAAAATTTGTAATATCTAGACTAAAACAGTCTGGTAACTATCAGGAATATGGCCATGCTGATGGTTGCGAAAGATGTGGTGAGAGAGGCGCCTCCACCAGTGCGATATTTTTCGGTCACCCAGTTTATCAATGGATCGCGATTAGTCTCAAGCCACTGGAAGTTGGCATTGGTGTTGGCGTCCACACTATCCTGCAGTGTTGTTGGTACATATTCAGAGCCCTTAACTTTGTCAACAAGCTCTTGGAGCTGTAAAAATAAACCAAAAAAATGTAATATATTTTGCAAAGACTCTAGGTTATTTTCTAGCAAGCTTACCTTAGTCTTTTGATTTTCGTTGACGACATAGGCAGACATGCCGACAATGTCCGAGTACAGGGGGTTTACACCACCAAAACCCGTATTTAATTGGCCGTACTCCTGCCAGTGTTCGTTAAGGAACTCAATGGAGGTCAATAGACCGACCTCGCCACGGGAATAGGCCGAGCTCAGCAATGTAATGCGTTCCTGCACGCGTAACTTGCTCTCTGCATCGATACTGCTGGACACGAACTTATTCACCTGATTGGAATTCTGTGAGCAGCCTAGTGATGAAATAAGCAGACGACGCTCCGCTTGATCGGTAGAGTCCATTAATTTCTCATAAACAAAGTTGTAGACGGAGTCATCTGTTTGCTTCAAGCCATTGCAGTAGACAGGCGACTGTAAGTTCGGTTCAATGGTTTTGCCCTCATTAACTAGGGCTTCCAACTTGGCCGATGTTTCTTTAAGGCAACTGTCCAATCCAGCTAAACACGCCAGGTTAATGATCAAATTTCTTGTGAACTTGGCAAGATGCTGTTCGCCATGCACGTCATTAACTCCGAATTTATCGTACTGTTCGCTCACCAGCTCGCTAACATAGAACCTAAAGTTGTCGTAATCCTTATCGCCGCTAAGGTAGCGATTGAACAGAGTGATGGCGGTGTTAGCAGTAGACCACGGGGCGTATTGATCCTCCTTGGGCAAGTAGGTAAGCAGAGTAAGCAGCGTGCTGTGAGGCACACGACCGCTAGTTGCAAAACGGTAAAGATCACTTATTAGCTGAGCGCGATTGCGTGGATGGATCTTGTGGGGACGATCAATGAGACCATCGATGATTAATTGCCAATTACGATCGTCATAATTGATGCGATAATAGCCTGTAGACTGTTTGTTCAGTATAAGCCAGGCCTCGTTTGATACTTTGGCATCGGAGACCGCTATCGATTCCTCATTTAGCAGGTAATGGGTAGCCTCGGTGTCACGGAAATCGGGGTTTGTTTGTACCGCATAGTTAAGGGGAATATACCATTTCTTTTCGTTTTGATCGTCCTTGTCGTTGGTATACCGATGTTGCTTCACGGTGAAGCTGCCATCGTTGTAGTTCCGCTCTACTGTGAGCAATGGTACTCCACCCTGTCGTGTCCAACTGGGCAACATATCGACAATCTTGTCATGAACAGGATAATTTTCTTCTTTGGCTGCTATGGCTATGGCCTCAAACAAATCATTCTCGTTGGCTGCAGAGAATTGGCTGTAAAAGAAAGACAGGTCAGCCAGTCGATATACTATATACAAGTAGAGTAAGTGAGCCTTACTTAGCCGTTAAATAGTTATGTAGACCGCGTTGGAAGACCTTGTTGGTCAGTGCATGACGCCACATGTCTAAGACGGATCCTGCCTTTGCATAGGAAACCGAATCGTACAGCAGCGAAATTTCAGATGGTTTTTCCACATAGTGTGACATAGGCCGAGCAGTAGGAGACGCATCATAGTTTAAGGCGCTCTGATAAGAGCCCGCATGGAAGGTTTGAAATATATCCCACTCCGGATAAGCCTTAATTAAAATACGAAATATAATCAACAGTTTCGGTTGTAAACACTGTAGAAGACTTACCAAATCAGTCGCCAAGTTCTCAAAAAGTGTGGCAAAGCCCTCCTTGAGCCACAAGTAGCCCCACCATTCAATGGCAACAAGATCACCGAACCACATGTGCGCATCTTCGTGCGCTTCAATAGTGGCGATGTTTGTCTGAGTGTTAACCGTGGAGGTTTCCGAGTTGTACAGCAAATACTCTTCGCGATATGTAGCTAGACCCCAGTTTTCCATGGCACCTGCAGCAAAATCGGGTAAGGCAGCCTGATCTAGCTTGGGCAGGGCGAAAGGCACATCGAAATAGCCCGACAGTCGTTTCTCCAGCAGCATACCCGACGTCAGAGCCCACTCCTGTTCGTGTTCGGTTCCCTTACGAGAGAAAACACGCTGGGGCAGGCCATTTAATTCACCCTCCGTGGACACGAAGTCGGAAACAATAAAGGCTATCAGATAAGTGGGCATGTTTACTGTGGTTTCAAATACGGTTACGCCATCAGTGCTCTTAGTTTCATTCTTGGGCATATTAGAAATGGCATTGTATGATGGATCGTGATTGAGTGTAATGTCGAAGGTTGCACGCTTAGCCGGTTCATCGTAGCAGGGGAAAGCATGGCGAGCATCTGTGCTCTCGAACTGTGTTGTGGCCAAGTAACGGGTTTCCCCATTGTCGCCGGTAAAAGTGGACAAATAAAAGCCACCATTATCCGTACGCAGATCACCCTTGTATTCTATGGTTAGAAGCCACTGAGTACCGGCAGCAAAACTGATGCTTGTATCAGTTGGCGACAGCGTAAGGAACTCTCGCTCCTCTTCATAACTATCCTTCAGTGTAATGTCTGTGGCACCTGCATCCACGCTTTTAATGCTTGCCGTAAATTCCCTTAGCTGACGTGCATGCACAACAATATGATCGGTATCTTCCACTACCTCCAAAGTGATTATCACTTTGCCACTAAATGGAGTCTCTCCATTGTGCACACTAGTCGTTAACTCAATGGAATAGTGTATTGGCACAGTTTCGTTGGGTAGGCGGTAGTTCTCCTCGGCGCGTGGCGAGGCGCTGTCCCGTTGATTTGGGTTCTCAAGGCTGCGTAGTTCCTCGGCAGGTGGGAAAGGAAAAACTGCAGCCTCGACCGTCGCGGCCAGAAACAGTATTAGCGCGCACAGCCTAAGGCGATTCACGCGTGACATGATGTTGTCGTGAAGTTAGCGGGAACTATGGGCAGAACGCGCACGCGGCTCACTTATAAAGCTTCTTCGGACTTATTCAAACTGCCAATTACGGCCGTATATTTTTGCTTATCATTAACGAACATAAAGATTATTTCTAATCGTATAATTTGCACATCATCGTCATTGGTACTCCATTGGTAATATACGGACTTAGTTTGTACTCAGATCAAGCCATGACTTATATTGACGTAAATTAAATGGTCTATGACTGGAGTGGCTGTCTAGTTATTGCTCGTAGCGCCACAAGGTACTGGACTACTGGACTACTGTTATAAAAATCGCCATTTCCGGCTTATCAACGAGTTTTTCCAGACCAGTTTAAGTCGGTGAAGGGATATTCTAATTGATGATTTGCATTCTTTAATGGGAACCCCTTTTTATAATAACGTCTCAATTAAGTTGTAAATTATTTTAAATTAAGTTTAAAGAAACATTATTGAAAGTTCCCAATAGTATTTTATTAGAGCGATACTTCGATGGTTTTATTTCTTTAATGTGACCTTCTTTAAAAATGTAATCTCTATTTAGAAGATAACTTTTTTTCTTATACAAACAACAAAGTTTTAAACATTATTGACATTATTATACTGCACTTAATAGCATTTGATAGGCTAAGTAAATTTGTATTAGCTCCTATTTCTATAGCACTGGACCAGTGTGCCATGGTCAAATGATATGAAGTGGCAACATTGAAAGATTTGAACGCCATTTGCTGATAAACTTAAGCACATGTTATTATACTCTGTAGATGAAATGTACAAGAGTATATTAGGTTTGCGCGAGGTGAAAAATGTAAGACCCCACAAAGTATATATATACTTGATCAGCATGACAAGACGAGTCGATCTAGCCCTGTCTGACGGTCTGTCCGTCTGTCCGTATGAACACCTGGATCTCAGAGACTATAAGAGATAGAGACACAAAATTTTGCACAAAGATGCCTTATGTGTAGCATTTGGCCTAGAAGCACCAAATATTAGTCCAAGATGCCTTTCGTGAATACGGAATTTCCCTCCCTCCCCCCACTCCCCTGCAATTTGTGCTCTTCCATAACTCCCGTAATTCTTTGAATTTCGAAGACATACGAAGGCATACGCTCACTCATTTTTAATTTTTTTAATTTTAATAAATTTTCTAAACACATTTACAACAGAGTATTTCAAAGTCAGGACACCCGACTTTAGCTTCTCTACTTGTTTGTATTATAGCTGTTCAGAATTTCAGGGTACAAGCTTAAACTTCCGACGGGCTAAAGTTTTAAGCATTAGTTTCCGACCATTCTGATCAGAGTGGTTCCCAGCGCTGTGCGTAGTCCGACCACGTGCCAAATTCATAAACCAATCAATACATTTATGCAATGGATTGCTATAAGCCAACTGAAATATCACGGCTATATTAATTCGATGAATTGGCGATAAGATTTATCAATATATCAAGTGCTGCTATAAAACGTCGATAACAACAAAAAGGAACAATCAAATTAAGCGCTAAAATGGTTATCACATGAGTAGGAGTATTTTATAACAAAAACAAACACACACACAAATAGCCCTTTGCACTTGGGTGACAAATATTTGGTTAAGAAACTATTGAGTTTATTAAAGAAAATTGTGTCTGCGAAACTTAAAACAACTTATTTAATGCCAGCATCAAAGCGCACACAATAGTGGTTATGGAAGCAGTAAGCGCGCCACTGCCATCACCTCCTCCATTGTTACCTTCTTCCTCCTTTTGGTAATCAATGATCCAATTCAGCAGAGGATCGCGATGCAAGTTCAGCCACTCGAAGTTGGCATTTATGGCAGCCTCTACTCGAGTGTCTAGGTCCGCGTTGACCAGCTCTGACCCGCTTACCGTTTCAACCAATGCATTTAACTGAAAAGAAACATAACATTGCCTTAATAATATAGCTATTTTTGGTTTAATCAGCACCTACCCGAGTCCGTTGGCTCTCGCTGACAACATAACTGGCGATTCCGCGTATGGCTGTATCCAAGGGCTTTGAGCTTCCCGTCCCTAGTTTACCATATTCCTCCCAGTTTAATTCCAAAAACTCTAAACTAGCGGTTAGGCCCACCTCACCGCGAGAATAAGCTGAGCTGAGTATTGAAGTGCGTTCGGACTCCAAAAGGATATTGTTGGTATCGATAGAGGCTTCAATAAAGCTACTTAATTGCGATTTTGTTTGTGAGCAACCAAGGGCCGAAATGTAAAACACGCGATTCGAAGCAATTGTGGAATTGAGTAGTAAATTAAGGACATCATTGTAAAGGGCATCCTCGGTTTGGCGTAGGCCATTGCAATAGATTTGGTTCTGCAGTGTTGGCTCAATTTTGATCCCATCTCTCAGACCTTGTTTCAGTTTATTGTTGGATTGCACATAGCATTTCTCGCTGCCCACCTGACAAGCCAAGCTTATAAGCACTACACGCAAGTAGTTGTTCAGATAATGTTCGCCGGGCACCTCGTTGACACCGATCTTGTCGAAAAAGTCCTCAACCAAATTAATCACAAAGAGTTGGAATTCGTTGTAATTGGCATCGCCTCGGAGATACTGATCGTAGGTGGCAAAAATACTGTTGGCAATAGACCAGGGTGCGTACTGATCCTCATTCTTCAGATATACCAACAGATTGAGCAGAGTGCCCTGACTCAGGCGTTCGGTGGCCACAAATCGATAGGTATCATGCAATAGTTGAGCCCGATTGCGTGGATGTATCTTATGAGTGTGTCGAATCAGACCATCGGCGATCAGTTCCAAATTGCGTTCATCGTACAAGATGCGATAATAACCAGTGGACTGTTTGTTCAATATAAGCCAATCATTGCTAGATAGGTCGTTTGCCACCTTGAGTGTCGGTTCATTAAGCAGGTAGAAGGAGGCGCTCGTGTCACGGAAATCAGGATTGGAGGCTACTGCATAGTTAATGGGCACGTACCAATTTTTCGAATTCGTAGTGCTCTTATCGTTGCTGTACCGCTCCTGTTTAATGGTGAAGGAGCCATCTTCATAATTTCGTTCCACTGTCAGCAATGGATAGCCGGCCTGTTGCGACCAGCTAGAGAATATGTTGGCAACTGTTGTCGGCAAATTATAATTTAACTCATCTGCTGCTTGCTGAAGCGAATCAAACAGATCCCACTCATCACAGGACTGGAATTCGCTGTAATTAAATGCAGTTATTGGAAAATATGGAAAAGAAATTGAAAAATAATTATGGATGTCTTACTTGTCAGTTAGATACTTGTGCAGACCCAGTCGGAAGACGGGATCGGTCCAAGCGTTCTTAAACATGTAGAGCACACTAGCAGGTTTGGCATACGAAAAGGTATTGTAGCGTCCAGAAATTTCTGAAGGAGTTTGCACATAGTGTGTCATGGGCGTGGCAGTTTCAGCTGCGTCATTTATCAGCGCGCTATTGTAGTCACTAACATGGAAAATCTGGTATATATTCCATTCAGGGTAGGCAATGTCATCTGATTCATAGGAGAATATTGTGGCGAAGCCCTCCTTGAGCCACAGATAGGTCCACCATTGAATGGAAACTAGATCACCAAACCACATATGTGCGTATTCATGTCCAATAATATTAGCGATATTCGTCTTGGCATTAACAGTGCTTCCCTCTTTAGTCCACAACATGTATTGTTCACGATAGGTGGCTAAGCCCCAATTCTCCATGGCGCCCGCAGAGAAATCTGGTATGGCAGCCTGATAAAGTTTGGGAAGCTTGAAGGGCACATCAAAATAGTTTGCCAAACTTGACTCGAGGAGCAAACCAGACCACAGCGCCCACTGCTGTTGACCTGTCGAACCTTTGCGGGAATATACACGCTGGGGCAAGCCGTGGAAAGATCCTTCCGTATATTCAAAGTCGGATATAATGAAAGCCAATAGATATGTGGACATTATGGGGGTTGTGTCAAAGGCAGTTACACCTTCACTGCTTCTCTCCGCATTCACGGGCATGTTCGATATAGCATTGTACGTGGGACTATGATTGATAGTTATAGTAAAGGTAGCCCGCTTCGCCGGCTCATCGTAGCAGGGGAAAGCATGACGAGCATTTGTGCTCTCAAACTGGGTCGTGGCGAGATAGCTGAACAGAACAGACGTTATGTGAAGAAATACAAGCCATGGTCTAAGCACTTACTGCACTTCATTATTTGCATCTGTGTAGGAGGACAAGTAGAATCCGCCCATATCTGCGCGTAAGGTGCCGTTATATTCGATGGTCAGCTGCCATTTTGTGCCCGCCAGAAAATTTACAGAATTATCTTCGGGGGTTAACGACAGGAATTCAAGCGTAGAGTTGTAGTCGATTGTAAGTGGAATGTCTGTCGACGTTGCCGATTCAGTATCCCTAATGGTTGCCTTAGTACTTGTCGTTTGACGAGCGTGGAGAACTATTGTCCTTGTATCTTCGATCACATTTATATTAATACTAACAACACCAACAAAGGCTCTCTCGCCAGTATGCACATTTGTAGTCAGTTCAACATCGTAGTGGACTGGCTCTGTGTTGTTGGGCAAACGGTAATTAGCTACTTCGTCAGCTCGCGGGCTGATGATGTCATATTTGTAGTATCCTTTCGTTTCGTGTTGCCCAACATCCAAGGGACGATCGTCATATTTGTAGTATCCCTTTGTTTCGAGTTGTCCATCATCTAAAGGACTCAAGAGAGATGCCTGCGTTGGCAGAAAACTGGCAACCACCAGCAGAAAGCAACTAATTAATCTAAAACGCGCCATGGTATGCGCTTAAAAAATTGACGACTGAAAGTCCATCGTAAATTGAATGCGTTTATAAAGGCTTTCAATATCTAATCCTTGAATAGACCAATAAAGATACCGCCATAACCAATTTGGTAATAGTTCTACGATAAAAAGCACATTGAAACTTATCGGTTGTGAGTTTATTTGAGCATAGTAAACAATAATGCCTTAAATTGGTCAATTACTGAACTCGTGCTCTAAATATAGTATGTATGTACTATACCGACTTTTCATTGTCTCTCGATTAGGAAAAATTCTCAAGTCCAACTGTATCTAAAACGGATGCATTACATTCAGTTTTGTTTTTAATATGCGTACAATGACTTCTAATATTTGACTGGCGAGACTGATTATCCATAACAGGCATTAAGCGATTCAAGTCGTTATCAAATCGGAATTGCTATGTTTAGAATGGAAATAATATCAGTTACGGGCAGCACGTACTCCTAATAAAGGCATTTTAATTTATGCGTTTAAATTGCATTAAAGTTTACAAATTTTTGGTTGGAAATATTGCTTATGTCTGCTTCAGAATATTTAAAAAATTGTTGTATATATTTCAAAGATCTACAGTTGCGAACTTGAAACTTCGGTGCCGAATTCCATTCCTATTTTTGTCCTTTATATCAATATTGATAACATTATTAATATGGAATAATATAAATTTGCATAATAACCAACTAAAGTTCGTAAAGTGACTTTCAAATAAAAATATGATATTTTAAGAGAGCCCTTGTATTAGAGTTTGGACTTCGACTTGGTCATTGTTGACAGTAGGAGGAGCAGAGAAAAGACAAAATACATTATAAAATTGAGCTGAGAAGTTATATATTGTAGCTTACAACAAAAAATAGAAGGAGAAATCTGGTCATGGGTCAGGATCTATTTATGAGTAGTACATATGGACTCGTGTGTGTGCTATCTAAATGTTCAAAAGTGGCATGATTTAAATATAAAAGTTGATATTAAATTATTGATCTGACATGGTCGATTTTGATATCTAATGCACTATATGTCCATAAATTTCAATGCGACAGCTCTAAAACAGTAATATTGATTGAAACAGACAGACAGATATGGGATTTTAAAATACGCGTATTTCGTGTACGCATTTAATTTTTCTAGCATACGTATAAAAGCAGTTATGCACTTAAGTACTTTCATAATCACTATGTACTGTGCTATCGCGCTTTGAACATCTATATGGCTGCTGAACAATATAAGGTGTGAACTACTGTATGAAGGTCGACTTGGAAACTGTTTATAAAATAGCTGCTCTACCCAATTTTGTTTATATTTAATAATTATGTATATCAACATCGTCTTTTTCCGCCTTCTTCTACTAATTTGTTTAATTTAATTTTGTTAAAATAATATACTAACATATTCAATGTCTCTGCGAGTCTTGTCCTTTAAAGTACAAATCGTTTGAAAGGTAATCATGAAAAAAAAACAATTTTTTTGAGAGAAATCCATTAACCATTTATCCAGTCAGTAAGGACAAACTGCTTTATAATATTGCGGTTAATTGTTATCAATTTTTGTTTAAATCGCTGAGCTTTTAAGACCTTTGCAAATGGGTTAAATATTACATTAACTTATATCTTATATTTTTAAGAAGGAGGTGTTGCAGACCTAATGCCGTCTGACAGTTTCCATGCAAAGTAGTTTCTCAGTTTTAAATATTGTGCATATATCCTTTTTCTGCTAGCAGACAATTTTGCAAAGCCACAACGTCATAATAAGTATGTTTGTGTTTAAATTAATGATACTTCCATTTATATATAAATACATTTAAAAAGGGGAATACAGTATACAATCTTTGACTCACGACCCCGAATATGTAGCATATACTTGTTTTAACATTAATTGAATTTGCATCTAATTTCAACATTTTCCAATCTAATTTATTTTATTAACTTAAACTTAAAGCTTAGAATGGCTTAGGATGGGCAAAACTAAAAATGTCCTGCTATAACCGCACGTGTAATGCTCTACTCATCAATTGGGTGGCTGTGCGCCACAGACTATCCGGCCGAGCTGAACCACTGACCACGTTAAGCGATGCTGAAAAAACGCCCGTGGGATTGTCATTAACCAGCCATTTGTGTATTCTCAGCTCGAACTTGTCCAAAAACTGTTCAGTATTCCTAATTTTTTTGCCTACATTGCCTGAGTTGATGTCGATTAATAATTCTAACGCATCGGGATTAACCAATTTCAGTTCCTTGGCTATACTTTCATGTAAGCTAATGAGCTGTGGAAATAAAAATAAGATAAGAATGTGCTGAGATATGATTTCGTCGTCTATACACTTACGTATGCCCTTTGATGTTGAGGCATGTACTCGGCAATGCGATTGAAGTGATCAACAAAAAATTGTGATTGACAGAGCAATTTGTAGTGTTGTTCGAAAAAATTCCAGACCACAGGACGGGCAGCCATATTTGATTTAAACAGATAATAGAGATACATCATTGATTCCTTATTGTTCATGATATGATGCGTCGTATTCTCGCCCAACAATATGTTCAGGTACTGGAACAAGTGCTCGCGATTTTGTGTGCAGCGCAGCGAATAGATCAAATCATCATAGTATACAGAATTACGATCGGAACTCTGCAGTAACTGCAGCACCTGGCCGAACTCCTCATCGCTTAGGTATCTTACGCCGAGGCAGAGAACTGTATCGTACATGGCGTTGAAATCATGATCGTTTTGGAACTGAATCCTCTTGAACATGTAGTCGCGTGCCAAATTGTGCGTAAAGTCGAGACACTCTTGCAAGTCCGCCATGCACGCCATTTCAAGTATCTTGTGGTCGATCAGTGCAGCAGCTGTTATGGTATTACGGGGGTCAGAATTATGGAAGCGTCTGTGAAACGTTGGCGAGACTAAGCGCCGCACAAAGAGCTTGTACAATGGAAATGCCGAGCTATCGAATAGGTTTCGTCTAAAGAATTCGATGGTGTCAGCAACTAGATTCCAGGGAGTCAGATCCTCTTCAAATTCCAAATACTTGAGCAACTCGAATACCACCTCTACCGATTCGATCTCATTGTGCTCGATCGCCGATGTGAGGTCCTGAAAGATCGCCGCTCGATTGCCAGCATGTATAAGCGTGTGATTCTGCTGAAGCTGGCTAGCAATGGCACGCAAGTTGTCGACGTCATAAAGCACATGATAGAAGCCCGTCTGCTGCTTATTAACAATCAGCCAATCGCGGCCGTCTAGCTGAAGACCCAGCTCCTCCAGGGTAAGCGTAAGGTGCGACTGAGGCGGCATGAAGTAGTCGACATGTGTTTGCTCGAAGTCTGGACTCTGCAAGGTGGCAAAATTGAGGGGTATCCACCAGCGTTCGCGCTTGGAATGCTTCGAATGCTGACTGAACGTGATGGTGCCATTCTCGTAGTTGCGCGTCACTGACAATATTGGTATCCATTCGCTATGCGTCCATGAGAGTAGGATCTCTGGTACTGAATGCACCCAGGATTGCTCCCGAAAGCGCTCATCTTCAAGTAACACCGTCTGGAGTGAGTCAAACAGCTTCATCTCGTTAGCCACTGTGTACTGGCTGGCAGATAAAAGAGAGACTGCTTCAAATTAATTGCAATTAACCAGTCCAATTGTAATGCTTTTGCCCAGCCATTGGCACGCAGCTTGACTCACAATTTCTGAAGATAGTGACTTATGCCGCGTACAAAAGTTTTCTGATGGAAAGCATGGTGAAACATCTTAATGACACACGCGGCACGTTGGTACGTGATGATGTCGAACAATGACATAATGTCGGACTCCTTTTCTACATAGTGCGTCATAGGACGAACGGCTAGGTAGTTATAGGTATAAGCACGCTCGGCAATTTCCGTTATAAAGAATTCCATCACCTTTTGCTCGGGATAAAGCTGAAAAGGATTTTCTTTAAAAGCTTAACTACAATAATAAGTTGGTGGCATACCAAATCGGTGATGAGATAGCCAAAGTATGTGGCAAAGCCCTCGTTCATCCAAGCATACGTCCACCATTGGGGAGATACCAAATTGCCGAACCACTGGTGTGCAATCTCATGATTCTGCGTTAATGTGTCCTTAAGGCTTTTATAAATATCGGTCGGATGGTCTTGTATTATATTATCCTCTTTATACGTGATGAGACCCCAATTCTCCATAGCAGCGCCATAGTTTTTCATTAATGCGACATGATCCAATTTCTCCAGCGGATAACTAATCCCAAAGTAATCTTCAAAAGCTGCTACAGTTCGGACTGCGTTCTTCAATGCCCGCTCCCCCTTTTCCCTCGTTGCTGGCGAGGTATAAATGCGTTGCGTCACACCGCGATATTTCGCAGTAATATTCTCAAAATCGGAAATGACGAATGCCACCAAATACGTGGACATGGGTGGCGTTGCGTAAAATATGGTAGTTGCAAGTTCATCAGAAATGCTGTAAATGAAAAATGTAAAAGAATAAGTGAAATATAGTATAGTAGTAGATTTAGTTAAATCAACTCACCCGTGCTGTTGCACATGGTGTACAGGCATATTAGATATGGCCGTGTAATTGGCACTGTGTGTCACCTTTATGGTAAAGTTGGACTTAAACGCCGGCTCATCGTAGCAGGGGAAGATCAGTCGTGTGTATGTCGGCTCGGCTTGAGTGGCGGCAGCATAGCTGTAATTAAAATTGATTGCAGTTAATTATAGGGGGCTTGAACCAAGCCTGAGATAGCTTAGAAATAACTCCCGGCTTTGGGAACGTATTTAAATTTGATTTGAAATTTAACCCATAATTTCATAGGTCAAGATCGTGGGTTTCTCATGAATAATTATTTTGGCGTCATCCGTTGCTGAAAACTGGAAAAAATCGGAATCGTTCATCTAGCCTAGCCTTAGAATTCTTGGCACTGATTCATGATTAATTATAATCATTTGGAGCAGCTTATAAAGTCTTTTTTATTTGATCCACTCTAGTAGAAATTTAAGCTTTGCATCAAAGGGAAACAAAAATAAACGCTTATTATCAGAGAAATCAATCAATGAAGAAACTTATACAAGTTCTAAAGTCAAACTGAATCATAACAAATTGTTTGTTTTTGATTATGTAGCACACATTCATGAGTGTTTACTTATTTATTTTCGATGTGTTGATTGTGTCGTAAATATGTCTTACTTGTGTGTTAGACAGTGCTGCGCCTATCAATAGGGCTCAGTCACTGACATCGTGTTCATTTACAAAGAAACAGATTGCGCATTCATTAACATTGTGTAGTATTAGGCATGTACATGTATTTTAATACATACAAGTATTTGTACATACAAGTATGGACTTAATCGTTGTCTGCCAGCTGACGTACGTTTATGAATTGATAAGGTCCGAGCTCTTGACGATTATATTAATTGTGTTTGGAGTCAAGACTGTGCCGGCAGATTTAATGAAAAGCGTGCAAAACAAAAGCAAAAGTATAATGGTCTTTACCCAGTTATCGGCCATATGTACTGGTATTTGTACTGGTAGTATATGTGTGGCCGATTGTGTGTTTTTATGTAATCGACGCTCTTTTTAAAAATGAAGAATGAATTGCATTGTTGTTGGCATTGAATTTAGCGCCGGCAGCAACAGCAACAACTAATCTCAAGCTTATCATTGGACGGCAATTTTAAATTATGTTTACACTCACACAGTCTGATTCGATTCGGTCTCATAAGTCATCCAATATAGACCAATGTTACGCTTTTGCATATCTGCTCTATAAATTATCTCCACTATATACCGTTCCCCCTCTTTAAATTTCTGATAGTTTTCAGGCGAATATATGATGAGAAAACTGCCGCGAGGATCGTAGGTGTGCAAAAGATCCGAGATTGGTTCGTTGGAGTCACGCGCGCGCACAGATATTTGCAGATCTTTCAGTTCTTTGGCATGGAGCACAATTTCATGCGTAGTCTGCCTAATCTCTATGTCTATAGTGGCATTTCCGTTGAAGCGTAAATCACCCAGGTGTATGTCACTGCTGATATGTATCTGGTAGCTTAGGGGATATGTATCATTGGGTAGACGTAACGGGCGCTCGAGTGCGGCAAACTCTCCCCGAACGGTTGACAAGCCCAAAGATATCATAAACACAAAAACTACTATGTACGTTATCATATCGACGAGCTTAAGTCCGAAGGTGCACCCAACCGAACGCGTTGGCAACTCAAATAAGACTGAACGAGCGAGCTGCTGGCGCTGCTTCTACATTAAAGTAATCTGCGCACTCATGAGGCTGATAAGATAAGGTCGGCGATGGTCAGGAGGAGACGTAAAAGAGTCTCTCAGTTGTTACACGCGCCAAAATACCAAAACACTTACAGCCTCGATTATTGGCTATTGAAATATTACTTATGGCAGGTCAGGGCTTTTGCACTTGGCCACCATCCTTGGCCCACAATCGTCACACTCTCGAACTCACTTTCGTGACCATTTGTTTGCTCTCTCTCTCTTTCTCTCTCTTTCTCTCTGTCTCTCGCTCTCTCCCTCCTTATCAGACAAGCATGCACTTGAGTGCTTTTATGAAAGCTTTTCTTATCGATCGAACAGATGCAGTTCAAGTGCCTAGTAAGAGTGTTAATGAAATGCTGATCGTGATAATGCCCCTTGACGGAATGTGAGCACAGGATATAGTAGCTTGAAAACTAGAGGAAATATTGGGATCTTAGTAATAATATTATTATTATTCACAATAAACGTGTATTTGAAATATCGTAAAATGGTTTTAAAGTGCTATAATTAATGAAATAAATGGCGGTAAATATCTATAACAGCAAAAATATACAGAAACAATTGAAGTAGATATATTTTTATCTGCGCGAAAGCTTTATATCTCAAGCTCATCCCTAGCATTCCTCTCTATAAAAACAATATTTGCTTACAGTTTCCAATGAAGTCATGGAAACTTAGGACATATGGGCGAACTCATAGGCTTCAATAGAACGTAAAACTTCGAAATGCAGCTAATAAAGCTGATCTCCCATATTTGTTTGTAGCGAGCTAAATCCAAGTCTTGCGATTTTGCTTGCTCTGGCACTCTCTGCCCACTGTTATGACTTTCATACTTACACTATATTTCTCTTCCTCTCTCTCTCTCTCGCTCTCTCGATTGCTCGCTGATATTCAGCACAATTTTGTCAACAACGACATTTAAATTCGAGTCTTGGGCTCTCAATGCAACAGTCGAAGATCTACTTTCCAATCGACAAGATGTTGCTCAACCGCCAGCTCAGTGTTATTTTACAAATCGGCTTGTTATTGTTTGTAATCAGCTGTGTGGATGCCCAATATGCTCTCCGGGATCAAACGGCACCCAAGCAGTGCGCGCGATTTGGAGAATATGTACGTGAGATTGCCATTATCAATGTACTATATTCTATAACTGTATAGATGTTTTCTCTACTTGTAGTGTCAAACCCACTTGGATTGCTGTACCAAGATATGCTTGACTTACTTGTATCGCTGCACAAGAAGCTATAGCAATATCTATCCGTATCCATTTCTTAGTCCGCAATACGAGCAACCCGGCTATAATAGCTATACGGACGTTCTGGATAACACATTCGGTGAATATCAACCGAATGTAGTCACTTATGGACGACAAACGAGAGCTATTGAAGATCAGGTTAAAATTGTGGCCATCGACGCAGCTGGCGATAAAGAAAGTAGCAGTGAGTCAGCGGCGAAAGTGACTGAGACGGATGCTTATGAAACTATCACCGAAGTTGCTGCAAATACTGAACAACCAACTGAAAGCAGCAATGCCATCGAACCTGAAGACTCTGATACCCGTCAACAATGCAAGGCAGTGGGCTCTAAAGTAGGTTTGCTAGGTTGTAACCTAATTGGGGATTAATAAACGCTGTATATTTAATTCTTTTTAGTGCTACCGAAATGAGGAATGCTGCACAGTACGCTGCCATGGCTTTCTGCATCAGTGTGTCACCTAAAATCCATTTTAAATATTTGTATTTACTTACGCATTACCTGCCAAATAAATCAAACATACATTTCTTTTAAAAAATATGGGCCAATGCCGAAGCCTTTTTGGTATTTATTTACTTCAGCTGTACATATATAATCGAGTAACTGTGATTGGTCTTTATTTATTTTGGCAATGATGAAAACAAATTCTTGCACTTACAATTGCAAACAAAGAACGCAATTGTAAATATAATTCCATAATAATTAAATACTCGTATATATAGTATGTACCTTTGTTCGTACTATGTTGACCTTCGGCGTACTTCTACAAGTATGTGGGTTACGAATCACTTATTTTAATTTAAAGACCTTCTTCGCTTACTTGCTACACGTATAGCTTTTGCAATATTCTCTAATCACGTATTTCGAATTTATTTTGATAAACAAAAGATCTGGAAATGTTTCGAACGTTGCGTATTTCTATGCGGGTTACGAATCACTTATTTTAATTTAAAGCCCTTATTTGCTTACTTGCTACTCTTATAGCTTTGCTAATATTCTTTAATCACGTATTTCGAATTTATTTTGATAAACAAAAGATCTGGAAATGTTGCTAGCGTTGCGCGATTTAATTGGAATTTCCCTAATGCCAACAGAAAATCAGCAATCATCGAGAAAGCATCCTCAGCCTGTGCTTTGAGGTCAACGCATTGATAAATATACGTGTATATGTAAGTACTTTTGACTTCTATCTGTACAGCGTATCAATGATATTAAATATTTAACTTGCACTTCAATTAACTGAGTATTGCTTCAACATTGGCACAAATGTAGCAAGCTCCTTGGCTTGTTTAAATACGTGTTGGCAAACTAAAAACTTGGCAATTAATTAAAGCCTAAGGTCAGTTGGCCAATCTTGTCAAATGCATTAAAAGTGAACCCGGTTGGCCACTTCAGTTCAAATTTGAAAATGTTGCCGACACTAACGTTTCACTCGATACTGCTCTTCCTTCTCGTCTGCTCCGTAAGTGAAAATTCATTAGCAACTTGTACGGTTCCAATAGCTGTTTTTATTCAACTTTTAGACTGGACATGCCAAGCCTACCAGCTCCATAGACAGGGCTTCGTTACTGCCTCCACCTCCGGCATCATCCCACAATTTGCCAAAGTTGAACTCCGAGGACATTTCCTTGTTCACAACAATGTTTCTGAATTTGTTCAAAGGCATCGGCGATTGGCGCAATATGGTGGCCGCTGATGCCGTCCAGAGTGTCTGGCAGAGTCCACCGATAATTGACTTAAGCAAGCGCATCTTTGCGACCACTTAGTCGAAGTTTTAAAAGATTAGGAGTAGCCATTACATTTCTTATATGAGCAACAAATAAATTATATGTGACTCAACTTTGAAAGTGAATTTACTTCGTCACGTCTTTCTCTATAAAAGCCACAGCGCTTCGTATACAGCTTTAATTTAGAAACTAAACGATGTCGCTGGCCATGGGAAAATGTTCGGACTCCAAGCCAACAAAGATATTGCTATTGCTCTTGCTTCTGTTTCTTATTGACCTGGTAAATCCTGAAGTATTGCAAAACATCAGCTTTATTTTTAATAACTCTTTTGTGTAGCAAGTAGAAGTCGTTCACACCCAATGGCTAGCGGATTATACACAGCATAGGAAAATACCTGGGCTTTCAAAAAAGCATTTGATGCCGAGCCGTAAGAATTCTCTTACTGGGGTAAAGTTTCTTTTATTGATTGAGTTTTAAGATATTGTAGCTTTTTTTTAAATCTGTTTATGCAATCATCGACTGCCTGTAGATAGAACGAGAGGAACTGGCCGATAACTGTGAGCCGATCGGTGGTCCTTGCTTTTATGCCGAAAAATGTTGCAGCAATATGTGCTTCAAAGTAACCAGAACCTGCATCATTTAAAAGATATTAAGAAACCAAAGAGTACATATTAATACAATAATATATTTATCGTTGTTTGTTGTACAATGATCTTAAAAATAACATTAAAAGTAATCTCTTTGCTGTGAAATAATGTGTTGCTCTTCTTCTTTATAATTGTTTGGCAATCCCTTCTCTATAATTTGAAGACTTATTTGCCCTAGAATCTCCTAAATATAAACTTTTGAATTTTTAATAAAAATAATAATACATAATAACAGCTATGTACGTTCTCAATTGAAACCTAATTATCGAGTTTTCGCAGGACAGAGTTTAACTAAAGCACCAGCAACAACAAAAGCTGTTGGCATAGCCTAAGCAGAGCTTACATTTATGGCTATAACAATAATTATAAATTATATTAATTATAAATTATTATAAAAAAGCACTAATGTAATACACCCATAGCTGTCTCAATTAGGTTTAAAATTTTACGAATGTTGTCTGCTAAGTTCTGAGTTTATAATTGGCGGACCTCATGTTATAGATCCATACATGTTCAGCGTAAAGAATCGATATAACCACGTCCGTCTGTGCTTTTGATTTACTATATGAGCGATTTCCTTGCAGAATAGTTTTTATATAATAAACATATTTGTCTAAGTAGACAATCGGAACCAAATTGAATGTTTAAAATGTTTTTGATATAAGTAATTTAAAAGTAAAACTGTAAGGGCATAAAATCTAAACAAGAAAGGAATGCCAAAGTCGAGCAGGCTCAACTCTCAAATACCCTGTACCACCCCACAAAAAAGAAATTTAATTAATTAATTAATTTAATTTAATTAATTAACTAAATTAATTTAATTAATTAACTAAATTAATTTAATTAATTAACTAAATTAAATGTAAAATATTCCATACATGCATACATACATTTACATTTACATCAGAATCGTGCCTTATGCGTGTTTGTGTACTTGTACATATGTATGTATGTGTGCATTGGGCCTGGTTATATGGCTATAACTTTTTACAGAATCATTCTATCATAATGAAACTTGGTATACGGATATATAATCACTAACCTAATGTGACTACAAAATTAGTTCAAAATTCCAAGAATTACGGGAGTTATAGAAAATCTATAATAGGGGGGAGTGGGGGGGAGGGGGGTGGACCAGAAAAATTGAACAAACTCGTCCTTTCTCGGGCTCAGGAGAATCTGTATACCAAGTTTGGTTATTCTAGCTCTTATACTTTCGGAGATCCTTGCGTTCATACAGAAAGACAGATAGACAGACGGACAGACAGACGGACAGACAGACGAACAGACGGACATGGCTGTATCGATTCGGCTTGTCATACTGATCAAGAATATATATACTTTGTGGGGTCTACCAAGCCTCCTTATGTGTGTTCCATGTGCACTCGCACAAAACTAATATACCCTTTGGGTACAGGGTATAAAAACGGGTCTGTTTATATATAATTTATTTATTGAAATTAAACATCTTAACTGATTATTTATTTCAGTGCACAAATCGTTTTGGCATTCCTGAGCGTCTTTCTGCATTGCATTTGTTTGCAATTTGCGAAGCGATTGACTCATTCGACATTATCTTACTAATTAGATGAGTATCTTTTATACCATATATTCCGGAGTTTCGAAAACAGCTGCACATTTAAATAAATGCAGAGTGACTATTTCTTAAAGTGTTTTTAGTTTGCTTATAAAAGCAACACTTTCGCACTAACAGCTAGCATACAAGTTTGAACTCTTCGGCGCTATATACAAGTATTAATAAGGAATAAATCATGCATTGTAACGCAAGCGTTAAACTATCGTGGGTGGCATTGCTCCTGTTGATACTGTTTAAAACGGTAGTATATCTGCAATATATTTGTGTTATATTTAGGATCGAACGTTTTTGTTTATTTGTGCGGTACAGGGATGTACGCAGATGCGTCGCACGATAACTGTGCCCAACAGAAAGGGAGCGGAGCTGAAACAGCAATCTATGATGGCCGCCCTTACAGCTAATAATGATCAACTGATGCCCAGTTTCCCAAAACTTACTGCGGTCTGTTAAAGCTATTTATTATTTAATTTATTCGATCAAGAATAAATCAAAATACCCTTCCCCATACAGATTGAGCGCAGAGCATTGGCGAAAATCTGTCAGAAGAAGGGCATGCGTTGCAGATTTGCTGAGGAATGCTGCAGCAATGTTTGCCTCAAGCTAACAAGACGATGTGTGCACTAAAATCAAGTTATGGACAAAGTAATAACAAAATAAACATTGGATATTTGGAATTACACTGAATAAATCTATATGTATTGACACTTTAAAGTTACTTGTGTCTTTAACACTACACAGACATTTAAAGTTGACATGCAATTGATTTTCCAGATAATGAGGCATGTGTGGCATTGTTGTTGTAGCTATCGTTGTCATCGTCATTCATTCGCTCTCACTTGGCCATAATAAACTGTATCAAATGACACGCCCATCCACACTCAACCTCACATATACACAAGGCCACACGCTCCCCAACCCACACTTACTGGCAAACGAGCAAATGCCGCGCAGCAATCGTCAGTAATGTGAAATGAAGTGTTGGCATCGCACAATCAACTGACAATATGTTTGTGTTGGTAAACGTTCGACACATACACACACACACACACAGAATATGTATGTGTGTACTATACATACACTCTTTCAGCTAGACTTGACTGAGCTGCGAACAATATTTCCGCAATTGCAGACAATGGCTTTGAGACAGCATGTAAATTTTTACATTCATTGGCATGCATTGACACATACACATATACATATACATACACTCATGTGTGTGTATACATAAACACACACATTTATACGTATGCCTATCTCAAGTGATCCTTTTCACACATACAAAGCGCACACAATGAATTTTGACAACAATTGTTTGTTGCTGGTATTGTTGGGCCACAATTCGAAAGTCTAATGCTTTTGTGTGTTGCAAGTGCGACTCGACTTCAAGATATTTTTTTGCGTACTGCTGGCAAACACAATGACAAACACATTACGATCAAGCTAGACCGTAGATGAAGATGCCTGCACAATCCTATGTTTAGTATACGCATTGCCCATTGTTTTTTGCCATACATTTAAATTAAATTAGAAATTAGGTGCAGAGAGGAACATGTTGCGGCATTCACAAATTACACGCAAACCCCTTTTTATACAATGTATTCAAAGGATAAAAGGTTAAGCTGAGAATCCTTAAGTTATGCCAAAGGCAGAGAGAGTGTGTGTTCACAAAGTAGGTATACTTTTTAATCTTTTAATTCTTAATCAGTATGAGGAGGGGAGTCGATAAGGCCATGTCCGACTGATCGTCTGCATTCGTTATTAGCGTAACAATATCAGCAAGTATTCGTGTAAAAACTATAATCATTAAACCCGGAATATCATTTGCTCCTAATTCTTAAGCAAGACAAGTTATTTGTTTTTTTCTTTCGTTTGTTTTGCCGAGTCTTAAACCATTAAATAATTAAAACCATTCTTAAATTTGCTCATTTCTATAACAGTTTAGAAGTACTCGTACTTAGTAGTTATATGACAGGATCGTTCTCGACATCAAAAGAAGTCTCCTGGAAAAATACAATGCGCTACCTCCTAATCAATGGGAGAAATAGCGATTCAAATAGACGGGCATAGGTTTATTTCAGATTCGCACATCTTGTCATGCTAATTATGTAATATGTGTGGTCTACGATGCTTCCATAAACACCAAAAACAATAAATTCTTATACCATTCATCGAAGGAATACTTGAATAAATGTGGGCGCGAATATAAAAATATTTCTTACCTGCACTGAACCGTGTTGGGACTGTTTACTACATTTTTGCAATATTTTGCAGTTCTGTGTACACATACATCGAATCAAATTTTTTTTATGCATTCCCTTTATCGGATTAGTAAAATTTCTTTGTAGAATCATAAAAGCTTTATTCGTTGTGCCACAATCGAAATTTCAATGTTCAATGTACACATTATGCTTGGTCCAGCAGTCAAGGTATCACAAATCTTAACTTAAGTTTTGAGTAGCATTGCTCTGCACAGCATGCGTGTTCTTTTTTACCACACACTTGTGGTTCCTTGTTCGCATTCAGCCACTTTTTGTTTGTTCTTTGTTTCATTGCCCATTTGCCCTCTGCATAGATTTAATTAGGTTGCTAGAGTTTGTGAACAGCCCAGTTGCTTTTTCGCCTTTAACGAACTCAGATTTCGTTCTCATTTATCGAACACAATCGAACTCGGCTGATATTTTCCCCTTTGCGAATAACATATGCCCTAATTCTCGGGCAGTGAGCGCTAATATTTCCTTCGTCCTCTGATGTATTGTGTTTGGCCACCTGCATCGCTTACAATAGCAAATGAAGCTATTTAATAAACGCGTCTGCAACCGCAATTTATATACTATCAAACATTATTTCTTTTGAAGGTTTCTAAATACCTGCAGAAAAAGCTGTGTATATCAGTATAGTATATTAATAGTACTTGTATTTTCATTTGGTATTTATATTATTTATTTGTAGTTTGTTTCTTTCCGTTTTGAAAAACATATTTGAAGCACTAAAACGTACAATGAAATAAGAGTTAAAGTATTTTATATTACTATTAAAATGTGTGCCAATCTTTTCAAAATACGAGTCTATGGAATTTCATTTGCATTTACCCTGTCTACGAATGCAATAATATTGTGCTGTTTAACTGCAATTTGTTTACGTGTATGGGTCTCTGTGGAATTTGAAAATATTTGAGCGTACGTGCCCGGTTTTTTTTTTGGCTTGGCATAGAATATCACATTCATAGTTAAGGTGCTTGCTTACTTTCTGCTTGTTTTTTATTCTACCGGGCTGCCCATAGGTATTTGCTTAAATGTAAATAAAACATGCGCTGCCTGCGGATTTTGCAAATGCCCGACGATTTGTTTGTCAGGTAGCCAACTCGACTTTGAGCGCACGTGTGCACGTACATACGTAAATTTAGTTCTGACGACTGCTGAAGTACATTTTCTTGTTCTTTTTTTTTTGCGATGGTTGACAGTCAACGGCAAAAGCTGCAACTGCTTGCAGTTGGCAAACACTTTTATAGAAGCTGCTGCCTATTATTTTGCGCTTATACGTTCGTGTTGGAAATAGAAGAGAAAAAAAGGTAGAGGAAGACATCAAAACAGCGGAAGCGGAAGACATTCCAGACATTCGACATTTCACCCGACCGCCCAAAAGTTTTGCGACCTCTCTAAACATTAGGGCGATAAAATGTCGCGCTCCCAGTACGCGCACAGCACGTCACATTTGCCAAAGATGAACTTTTGATACAGTTGCTGCCATGGCGACTGGCAAGGCAGGAAATCACTTTCGATGCCAAAATTGCGAGCGCTGCGCCACGCTTTGGTTTACAGTTTCGGTTTTGGGTTCGGGGCTCGGGCTTGGTTAATGCTGATGCTGGTGGGTACGAGGCTTGTGCTGGAGGAGGGCTAAACGGGACTGCTTTGAATATCGATTGCGATGCCTATCAAAATTCATATGCAAGCTCACAATGCGGGTGGGGGCGTGAGTGTGCATGTGCCTTAGAATGTGCCCGCTGTTATTCATTTGCCTAAAAGTATGCAGTGAAAAATAATATTTGAGCATTTCTAACATATGGGCGGGCCGAAGCAATTTGTCATGTCGGGATATATGTACTCCTATGTATAAGCAGCGTTTATATGCATATGCATGTGTGTGCGTGTGTGTGCTTATTGAGCATTGCATTTGAATAAGTGTGTGTGCGCGCATTTAAGGCAAAGACGATTTGCGGTTTATGTGGGAAAAGCGCGTAAAAACTTTTACATTATACGCGCCGCGTCTGTGTGAGCCACTTAAACATCGAATGAATTATTTCACACGCTCACAGTGCCCACCACACAGCTCCCTGTGGCCTCGCAGAAACTTTTATTGAGGTGCCAGGTGGTGCCAGTACAAGAAGTTTCTCTCATAATAGGTTCATACAATTTCATTTACAATGCGTTCTGTGGCCAGCCAAGGCGTTTAATTGAAGATATGCTGGCACCAAAAATTGTTTTAATGATATGCACTGAGAAAAATATCTGTTTGTTGGTATGCGAGCATATTTCTTAAATTATGAGCTAAGATCTAACCAGTTCATAGAGTTTATAACTTCGATTACATTTAGAACATTTTGAAAATAAAAGAAGATCAAGCAGATCTTGAGTGATTAATAGCTACTGCGCTCAACAATTTGATCGTTTTTAAAAGCAAGTAATTAAAGTTTATTAAAAAATGGTAGCAATTATATATTTTAATATGAATACGCTTAGAAACAAAATATTAGCTTATTGACTGATTTTAAAACATCCTTAACTCTACGTTCATTATTTTTTTGAGTGTGATCCCTCCTTTGAACCTTTTCTGTTTAGGTTGAGCGTGTGCTGGCGTGCTGGCTGTACATGTTCGTTACTCTCGGTGCGTGTTTCTAGGCATGTTTGTTTATGCCTCTGATGCTGCTGTTTGTACTAGTCCTGTTGCTGCTGTCGGGATTGCTGCGCAGGCATCTGTTGTGCTGCAATGTCCTTTCCAGTAATGTCAACATTGAGCCTCAATTGGCAAACGAAGCTGCGCTTCCGCCTAGTGCACAGCCACTCAACCAGGAAGCTGCGCTTCTGCCTTTGTACGAACAGTCTATGGGTTTGTGTGTGTGTGTTTGCGATGCACTTTGCTTTTGGCACGCTGGTCATAACGCATACGACACGTTGCCACTAATTTGAAATGCCTCACTGGCTTATCAGCAATGACCTTCTTCCATTGCATGCGGGACCTCTAAAGGGGAAATAAAAGAGGACATGTAGTAAAAGCTACAAAAGGCAAACATGACAAGCAAAATAACAGCAACACAGTGTGAGTTGAAAGCAGTGCGAGTCGAAAAAAAAAACAAATACACCTATACATATGAACGAACAAATGCTCAAAAGGATTTGTGTGTGTAAAAAATGCTAACATAGAAGACAGTTACACATACAGAATCATAAGCCCCATTTATATGTATCTACGAGTGTGTATGTGTATGTGTTTATATTTACATACGTCTAAGCTCATGTGTCTCATTTGGCAGAAAAAAAGCTCAGGATTTTGCAGACTTTTGTGTGTGGCTCGGTCGCTTGTCGATTTTGCTTACTTTTTTCCGTTGCTGCTGTTGTTGATGTTGCACACGACAGCAATAACAAAAAGGCGGTAAGGCAGCTTCGTATGAAATTGATTTTAAAAGTAACATTGCCGAAAGCGGTGTCAATGAGTTT